AATAACTATTGTACAGTCTATCACAACAATAAAAGTTTATATAAGTTATATAAAATTGTTGAATAAAAATATTGGATTTAAATTCATTGTGAATAAAAATGTTGAGATCATAGTCAATATTGAAATACAGTTCAATATAGTATATATATTTACTGTAATACACTATATAGAGTATATTTGAAATGATAAATATAAAACTTTATTTGTGATGGCATACCAACAGTGAACCAATAGTACTGTTTTGAGATGTTTTTATACCATATCAGGGCATCTATTGTAAAGGTTGTGCCTGTGCTGTCAGTACTGGTCATTCAATATATATTGTTATTTAGTATGTCTAATGCGAGCCGTTGTGTCGTATTGTGTCTAATGTCCACAGTTGGTCCTACCATGAGCTGAGTCCGACTTATACGACAACAGATATGTGTACACATATACACACATATATATACACATATAGCATATATACCATATATACTGTGTATATATTGTGTATATCTCACGCATGCATACATTCACAATATACGGTTGAATTGTATTAAAAACATTTCTTTTATTCCCATTCCCGACCCAATCCAGGTGTGCAACTCTTCGGCCGCTCTGGAATTCGTCAACGGCTCTCATCCCCGACTCTTCCCCTCCAGTGTTCACACTTTTCTCATTTCTCTTGGAGAGAGAGAGAGAGAGAGAGAGAGAGAGAGAGAGAGCAAGCAATTGCATAGCAGGGGTCCCATTCTCTCCCATTTTGGTGCAAACCATCTCTCTCTCTCTCCCTCTCTTTCTTTCTATCTTTCTTTCTCTCCATTCATATATCCCAACCCAAAGTCCAAATCACTTGATGTGAGTTTTGGTGATCTATAAGACCGAAATGTTGAGTAGATGTGGATCAATAATGCAGTGCTTGGGAACACCACTTTTAGATGACTGTCCCCTCTTTTATAATCCTCGTTCAGTGAATACATTTATGAATTAATGCCTGTTATATATTGTATGCGATTTGTGTGACCCTCTTTAAGAGCTACACATTATGCTATGGATGGACCATAGCATAGCTCTAACATCTCTAAGCTTCCAGTGCTCTGAACAGTTGGTTTCAACTCTATAAACGACTATTCTTTTATTTTTTATTTTATAGAAGAAGAAAATTAAGTTTGAGTTTTGTGTTTAGTTGTGATATTAAGGACTGAGATCTGGGACTTAAAAGACATTTTTTGTTGCCTTTAAAATGCATTTGTGTTGACAACCACTGGTAACGACTGTACGCATCATTAAATTATGGCTTAAATTATAGATTGCATTACCACTAAAATATGTCATTCAATTTATTACTTAATTAATAAGCATTGAATCGCATAACAAGAAAATAATAATTATTGTAATTTGTTTTTTGCATTTATTTCTCTTCACAACTCTTAATAATGTTTTACACTTTAATAAATGACTGATTTTAATATGTCATTCATTCAATACAATGCCTTTCAAATAGCAAAACACAATAGATTACAGAAAAGTCATTATTTTTATCACATTTTCTGATCCGATGTGCCATTCAATGCAAGCGCGCACTGGTAGTAGTAGTAGTAGTCACACAACAACTCCATATACCCGGTATAGTATAGTAATTGGCATCTGTAGTGAATTTGGTCACTATTAAGATGAGGTGGCAAATGGACAGCAGGACAGCCATCACCTCTTCTTTTTAAAACCGATTTATGAATGTTTGTCTCATCTCTCAAATCATTTTTCTTATTGAGTTTACAATATTGAGAGCACAGTCAGTGATATAAAACTTCCGTTCAATTGAGAAAAACTGTCAGAAAAACACGACATGACTTCACTGAGTCGTACCTCTAAATACCACACCTTTTCATTCACTATTTTACACAATTACCCACTGCTAGTGCCCAGTGCTTACTCTTTCCCATTCATATCTCTGACCAAATAGTTGAATACCCTTAGGGCTAACTCTAACCAAACTCACACTATGACTGACCAATAAATCTTTTGCTAATTTTTTAGTTTTCAAAGTTTCACAGAAAATTCAAGGTTTTACTTAACATTTAATCCATAATACTTTAACATTAATACCATACTTCATGAGAGAGAGAGAGAGAGAGAGAGAGAGAGAGAGAGAGCAAACAATTTGAGAGCTGAAACCTGAAAAATATATAATTGTTCACAACTGTACAGTCAATACAACAACATTTACTAACATTTCACAAACTGCTTAGAGTAACATTCATTGAGTTTTGGTAACCAATTACTACATTTTCTATAACTTCAAGTCTCGGAGTATAAGTGAATCAAATAGTAAAAAATGGGTTCAATATCATTAACAACTGTATATAATAACACAATTTATTTGTAATTATTTAATTTAAAAAATCAATTGTTTTATAAGCTAACTTTATGTTATATAAAATAATATATAATGTATTTAATAATGTTTTTGATTTATAAAATAAAAAATAGGCAATCAATCACATATTTTTTGCATAATTTTCCGCATTTGCTTTGAAATGACACAAATACTAATCCATTGATAACTTTGTAAATTGTATGAAAAATATTTGTTGTAGAATATATTAATAATAACGTAAATATATGTTTATATATTTAAAAAATCAATTGAATTGATATTTGAAAGAAATGTTTAGAAATTTTTAGAGAGATGTGGTTTGATTGTAAAAGTGAAGAGTCTTGTAATAGTTAAGCAATGGATAGGGTTTTAAAAAAGCGTTAGAGAAGTGCCATAGAAATGGTGACAAACGTTAAAACTTCTTTACATTTAACAATTATTATGATTGCTATTATTATTATTATTATTATTACAATCAATTGAACAGTTAGTCTCTTATTACCTTTATATGGGGTTTGGATCTGTTGGTATACATTTGTGGTCAATAGAGCTGACTATTAAACTGTATTGATATAATGGGAATTACTAACTATGCCTTTCTATGATACACAATGTGTACTTTTAATACGATATGGTTTTGTGTATTTTATGTATTCAATGTAATATACAATAAATATATTGTTGAATATAAGCGAATGATTTCCTATTTGCAAGAATATCTTAAACATGTGGACAGACCCTCTCAAATGGTGATGCCATTGATGCTATTGATGCTATTGCTATAGTTATAGCAGTTATAGCCATTGCCAGTACTCATTGTATTGCCAATAGTCCTATTCTGTTAACATTACAATAGTAACAAAGTTTGGCTGACTTTTAACCATACAATTCAATGATTCAATGAAAGAATACGCGTTTTTTAGCTATGGATTAGACACGGAGTTATAGTTAACAACTATAATCATAATAATGTTAACATAATATCTATATATATAAAAATATAATGTAATACTGTATATAATAACAGAGAATGGCTTCAATTGATGCAAATATATATATATATTAAACTCACCACTCGATTGACATAAGCGTCAAATACTACAGTATATCTATTGTCAATTCAATATTATTAACCATTCAATACACTTAACATTAGACTCTATTTTATGTATACAATAACAGTGATAATAATAATAATAATAATCTCATATTCTTAAATGTCATGTAAATTATATTACTATTACAATTACTATTAACAATTTATTAGTTGTTGTAATATACTATTTTTTTGTTAACGGTTTTAGAAATTTATTTTATAAACATTCATAACAAGTTCATAACAATATGTCTTTTATTGAGACACAATACAAATTATCTGAACAATTAAATACTTTGTATATACTGTGAACAACTATTTATATAAATAATGTGTTTTCAAACAAATAGATATATATATATATATACTATATTTATAATACTGTAAATGCTTTGTATTGTTTTTTATCATTGAATATTTTAAATAAATTCTTTAAATAATTCTCAATATGTTTGCACTTTTAATGTTTTTGTTGTAACACTAAAGATATAATTGATTTTTTCTCAAACAAAGCTGTTTAATACATGTAATAAAATTTAAATAAGAATAATATATAAGGCACTATAAGTAATAGTTAAATTATATTACTATAATATGATATTTAGCTGTATAATAGTTGAAAAAACTAGATCATTATATTCATATTTAAATTTAAATTTAATTTAATTGATATACACAAAAAATTGACAAAATGTAAAAATTATTTCAATTACAATTAGTATATTGTATTGTCAATTAAACAGTTAGTTTCATATTAGTTTCATATTAGCTTTATTTGGTGTTTTTGTATGATTCAGGTATTTAATATATTATTCCCTAATTTGGTCTAAATAAGACTAAATAAAATATAAATAAATAAATACTTCATATAACTATACATATCTATGAAACTCCAGTGTATTTTTTTGTGAATACAAATGGTTTTACATATCAACCATTTACTGTATATTTTATGAATTTTGTACATTCAATGCAAACTGCAGTACAATATACTGTACTTAGAGATTGTGTCAATTACTATAATACCGTTTTCAATAGTTTTATTTTCAAACTTTTTTAAAAATTTTATCTAAATATTCTCTATAATAATGTTGTATAATGTTAATTGTATGTTTTAGAAATTTAATTTAAGCAAAGCTAGATTATGATTGTGTTGATTATAGTTAAATTTTTATTGAAATTTATAAAATGATTTATTTTTATCTAGCTATTTATTTAAAAGTTTTATACAATATATTACTAATAATATATGCAATTTGTATAAAAATAACATATAAATAATATTAAATAGCAAATTTGATTTAACGAAAACATTTTATAGAAAACGATAATAAATAAACAGTATTATGGAAAAAGACTGAAACCATATAAATATATTGTAGAATATAAGCATTGAATTGCTATTTGCTTTGGCAGTGTGTGTCTATAGTAGGGTCCGCCCTAAGCCAACCTCCCGTGTCTACCCCAATAACCTTTAAAGTTATGTACAGTATAAACCTACAAACTTGTCATTATAGTTTTAACTGTCTTACTGTAAGCATCTCTCTATTTTGTGGGATTACAATCAAATATATATACAGTATATACAGTACACACATATAATATACAATATATTGTATACAGTATTTACATACATATGTATACAATTTCGGTGTAATTACTAAAATTGTAAAAAAGTGGTCAAAAGTTGATATAAATAAAAATTAGTGTCCACCGAGTGCTAGTCCCAAACGCCAACACGACGGCGCTATACCACCCGACAGCGGCGGCCGCCCAAATGGCGGGCCTCGACCGCGATTACCCCTCACCTTATGCACCGTTCAGTCTAATGACCCCAACGGCAACCCATCATCAGATGGAACACGATCTCAAAGCATCGGCATTTGGTCACCACCACCACCATCATCACCATCACAATCCATCGCACACACCCTTATCGGTGATGACACCGCCAACACCAACATCGACGCCGACATCCCAATCACACCATCACAACAATAACTCCAACTCAGGAAACAGTAATCACAGCAACTCTGGACCGCAAAACACACACAACTCTGCCAACAATGCATTGTCTAAGAAGGAGATCGATCGCGTCAAGAGACCAATGAATGCTTTCATGGTTTGGTCCAGAGGTCAGAGGCGTAAAGTAAGTCTTAGTTTACATTTGTATTATTATTAGTATTATTATACAATTCCTACAGTTTGCCAATTATATAGTATTCATATTACAGTATTAGTAAAACATTTTTATAGATAGTTTAATATTACAAAGTTTATATAGTATTAGTTTAGGGGATAAGTTAGCTTAAATGATAGATAAGCTCATTTCAAAAAGCAATACATCAGCATTACATGCGTTATATGTTGCGTTGGGTCGCAATGTTATATAATTCAATATCATTTAAACTATTTTTTTATTACAAATTACATAATCATTATACAGTATTTATTAAAATTAATATAAAATTAAATACTAAATATATAATAATAATTATTATTATTGTGTTGAATCAGATGGCACAAGAAAACCCAAAGATGCATAACTCAGAAATTAGTAAACGATTGGGCGCTGAATGGAAACTATTATCCGAAGTAGAGAAGAGACCTTTCATTGATGAGGCAAAGAGGCTGAGGGCTGTCCATATGAAAGAACATCCCGACTATAAATACCGACCGCGAAGGAAGACTAAAACTCTTATGAAAAAAGAGAAATATCCGTTGGCGGGAAGCTTAGGTGGTTTAGGTGGTCCCGACCCGTCACGATCATCTGCGGCCGCAGCTGCAGCTGCTGCCGTACAACAGGTCAGCAGAGATATGTATCAAATGAATGGTTATATGCCTAATGGCTATCCAAGTATGGCTATGCACGAGGCCTATCAACAGCACGCAGCCGCCAGTTATGGTACGGCCGCCAGTATGGCTGCAAATACCGGTCTCTACGGCCGGTACGACATGTCTCAGATTCACACCCCAATGACTACCGGTTCTATGGCTATGCCATATATGAATGGTTCGTCTAATTATTCAATGCCCGTATCGTCCGCCTACTCAACAATGGGTTCATCGGCCAGTCCTATGTCAGCCACGGGTTCATCTATAAAGTCGGAATCTTCCGGTCATAGTGGGAGTTCTCCGAATGCAATGGCGGCCGCTGTGGCCGCAGCTGCTCGACGAGGCCCATGTAATACTGACCTAAGAGACATGATTAGCATGTATTTACCGCCGGGTGATAGCGACCAAAATCGACTTCAAATGCAGAGCCACTACGGGTCTTCAAGTGAGCCGCCGATGCCGTTATCACATATGTAGGACTTATCGAAGATTTAGTGTAATTTTATTTGAATTCATTCATTATTTTTGCAACTAATCAAAGACTGAAAAAACTCTCATTATTTGTACAAATGATTACATATTTCTATAATTATTCTTCATTCTCAAGACTGACTCTGTTTTATAATGACTTTATTGAAGACATGAGAAGCCATCACATCCCGCACTCATGACAACTACAGCTCAGACATTAAACTATTGATACATACTTTGTATGCTTTAATTGTGTGTATGTTGTGATCATCACATGTATTATAATTGATATTAATATCAATAATATAGACGTGCGCTTAAACCACAATAACCTAATCATCTCAAACAAAAATGTAAGTAATCTTACAAAACACTGGAATTAAAAAAAACTGATATTTTATGACAAATTATTTAATCATAAAATAATTTCAAAAACAGATATCTAATAATTTGTATTTAATTGTTTAATTGTTAATTCAATCACAACATAACATACATATTGTAAATTCATATAAACAGAACTGACACTCGAGTTAATAATGACATAAAAAATAACTTTTAAAAATGTTGATAAAAACAAATGAAATAATCTCTCAATTATTTAACTTATTATTAACAAAATAATTACATAATTTTTTTTAATACATTTTTAATACACACATATTTTTTTAACTAATATAAGTGAGAGAGAAAAAAAATAAACTTAAAGCAAGCGTTTGCTTTATAATTGATATGATATAAAAACAAAACTTTTTTTATTTCATATAAAATATCTTAAATCAAAAGTGTGTGGAAAGGCTATCAAAAGCAATTTCCTCATTAATTTGCGCCACTTTTGCCTATCATTACAAGCTGTTAGTGTGTCGTTGCAAACAAAACAACAACAAAAACACTGTCAGGCCATGAGCTCTGCCAACTCTATCAGGTCTGTTAGGTCTCTGTTTAGGTGTTTTTTTTCTCTCTTCATTTACCAGAACTATTGGTTTTAAGAAATTGCATGCGTGTCGACCCACTAGACCTACAAGAGCTCTCAAATAAAAAACATATACAGTAACTAAAATATATGCTATAAAACAATTACAATGATTAGGCCATACGCTTGACTTGATCTCACGTTAAAAAAATATTAGAAACAATTTGCTTTACAATCCATAAGCCTTTTCACTTGTTTTACCTCTTATAAAAAAATACAGGGTTTCAGATAATTTTATAATAAAAACATTTAACTGTAATATGAAATTATGATTAAACTTTTCATCGTATAATACTAAGATACAGTAAAAGCAATATATTGTTTTTTTTATTGTTAGAAAAAACAACATTATAAAAACAAATGTATTTTTTAAAAATTAATGAATATCATTATAATTAGAGCCGCAAATAAATTATTGTTTTCATCAAAATAAGTGTAAAAATTAACAAAACAACACAAAAATGTAAACAATTTTCATTACCAACACTTTTCAAACTTAATAAAAGAGTTAATCTTTTATTGTTATATTATTTTATATGTAAACTATACATAATTATTATACTGTAGTTTATACTTAAAACAAAACTTTACTATTGTATTGAAAAGATTTGAGTGCATAAACAAGTCATCAATATTTTTCGATATATAATAAATGAATGATAAATAACATACATATACATCAAGTATACTAATTTTACGTTTAAGGAAATTTAAACAAAAATTAAGTACAAATTAATTATTAAAATAAATTATGTTATTTTAAAATAATTTAATTATTTGAGAGAATTACATAAAATCAACATCAACTAAAATTATGTTATATGATAAGTAAAAAATCATAATTGGTTAATATAAGTTTAATTGTAGTTACATATTTTATTTATAAAAATGTAAAACTATTAAATTAACAGAGTGTCAGTTCTAATCATTAAATTATTTATAAAAAAAAATTATGAAATTGGTTTTTATGTTGTAAAACATAAATATATACCTAATAATTGTGAGTTTATTAATAAAATGAAATTAAAACCCTATTGATTGACGTATCCATACGTTAATACAATGTGTTATAATAATATAATAACTACTAATTACTATCTCTTGTAAATATATCTGTAAACTAATTCTTGCACACTATTATTACAGTATTATTATTATTATATAAATATATTATTATTAGTTATTATTATTATTATATATTGATATTAGCTTAATATAGCATTGATTAGATAATTCAATTCACAAATTGGTTGTAAACGTTTTGATTTTTAATATAAAACATATATCTATTACTTGTATTATGATTATGATTATTATTGCTTAATTATTAAACTTATTATTATTATTAAATATTAAGACAAAAATGTTATGTTACATCATTTGACTTATCATCTTTAATTTCTTATATTGATATATTTAAATAAATAAATATATATTGATTAAAAATTGTTTTAAAATTAAATTAACCGATTTTCAATTTATTTTATTATGAATAACAAGAATTTTGTTATTAAATTATTTATAATGATTATATACAGTATATATATATATAATTAAACTACGATTTTGAAGCATTAGTTTTTAATAAAGTAAACTATAATGAAAAATAGTGAGCTATAATACAATAGATTTGTTCATTTAGTTGAAACTGTAGGAACAGGTGTTAATTGGGTTTTCATAGATGGATAGCAAATGTAGTAAATTTTATGAAACGTGAAGTCATTGTGTAATAAAGTGATCTCAACTCTGGCATCGGGTCGTCATAAGTAGTGATCCACAAGAAGAGTGATGTGTATCGAAGCAGCGTTTCAACCAAATCTAGTCTTCAAATATTTCAAACATTTTGCTTCAATTAGTCATATCATGCAATGTTATTACATTACTATACTATACTACTGTATACTAGACTGCTATGCAATCCCTTTACATAGGATATGAGGCAAACGTGATTCGGTAAAGTAGTGGTTGGGTTGTTGTCACAAATGAAACATTTTATCAAAAAAAGGTTGGCTCAGGAGCTGTCACTTTAAAACTAAATAAATATCAACGCTTAGCTATTAGTGAGCCTTTAGTGTCTTTCTATGCTATGGCTGTTAGGGTGGAGATGAGGACAGAGAGGAAATGGTGATTGTGTAGAGTATAGCACACTTCGATCAGCTCAGGGTTCCGTGAATCCTGGGAAGCCATGACTTAAATGCTTAAATCAGTACATAGTGTAGAGTGACAGTACCTTTTCTACCTGTGCTCTCACATACAATAGAGCTTTTGGAAGGAAAAAGCGGAAAGAAGTGCGGAAACATTGAGGAGGACAGGGGTTAGGTTAGGTTTACAGACACAGGACGTATACTTCGATGCTTACCGGCCTGTGATCTCTGATAATATACATGGATTACGTGCACTGTATTGAGTACATCCAATACATAGGCATTTTTACTGCTATGACATCGCATGGATGGCCAGTACCAATGCTAACAGTGCCAACAATAGGCATTTCATTTAATTTAAACCAACATCACTGTCGCACACCCTTTACGCCTAAGCGATCAAATGAATCAAACAAATCGGAGAATCGTATGGACGCACAACAGATACATACATTTAATCATCGAAAAAGGCATTGCTCTCACTATAACACTATCATAAAGATATAACATATAATACCATACCATTACATACCATACCCTAACAAACCATTAATGTCTCATTTTACTAATCTTTTACTTTCATTCATAATATGTTTTCAAAGTTTTAAATATATTTCTAATATAATAATGACTATAAATATAATATAACAATATTACTTGAAGAATACATAAACTATATTATAATATTAATTTTATATGTTTTAATTTATTTATTTATATTTTATTAAACAACAAATTATACTATTATAGATTACATTAAACTTTATTTACAATATTATTAAATATATAAAACTATGAATTACATACAAAAGTGACTCTTATGCCATTAAAAAATTCAGTGATAGACTTTATTTAATTGTAGATTATAAATATAATTTATGTAAAAGATATTAAACTACAAAATAAATATAATATTTCACTTTATTATTAAATTTAAATCTTATTAAACTAATAAACTATTAGTATTAAGTAATACTTTAATTTTGATATTTATAACTTGTTTTTTTGTTGAGATTATTTTGGTGACATTTTCTGGCATTTTATTTCATTATATTTTAATACTTAATTATCATTAAAACAAATAAATTTGCAAATAATTAATATATTTTTAACTATATTAATTTCAATTTGTTAATTAAAAAACAATTTTATTTAATTGGATAGGTAACAAATGTTGTTTATAAAATCTATTTAATTTTATTATAAAATATTTTTAAAAATTTAATGTAAGGATTTAAATGTAAAATGTGATATAAGCTGTTTTAATAGTGGTTAAGTCATGATATAAAGTATATTTTATATGGTGTATAAATATATAAATAAATTTAAATTATAAGTGCTTTACTGTAACATAAAAATAGGAGTATTAAAAGTTAAATGATAGCATTGAGAGTTGAGTTGAGATAATGTTTATCAAAAAATTTATAGCTATTTATATGATATGAGAGGCAAAACAGGCATACATTGTGGTGATAGCCGAGGGCTGAGTACAGCCCTAAACGCATCATTTGACACAAAGCTAGTAATTTGCTGAGGAATTAGGCGTTTGTGTTGCAAAAAGTGGTAAAATATTCGGTACGCTATCCCTGCTATCCCTCTATCCTCCCAAATGGATGCGGATTCCAGAGCACAGCCATTACTACAACCATTCAATAAAATACACGTTTATATCATATGAGTGAAGATCACGACTTGTGGTTCAGTTTTAATATCAAAGGTTGAACTTATATATACTTTTTCTTTGATGTTTCACATCTGTATATGTTTGATGTCTTCAACAAAAACAACTATTAAAATCCATTTTCAACAAAACTCTACACAATATATATATATATATATATTATTTAACACAAGAGATAAATTATACCTAAATACTAAATATTTGTCTA